CCTGGGTGGAGGCACCTTCGACGTGTCCATCCTGACCATTGAAGACGGCATCTTTGAGGTGAAGGCCACCGCTGGAGACACTCATCTGGGCGGTGAGGACTTTGACAACCGCATGGTGAACCACTTTGTGGAAGAGTTCAAGAGGAAGCACAAGAAGGACATCAGTCAGAACAAGAGGGCCCTGAGGAGGCTGCGAACCGCATGCGAACGAGCCAAGAGGACGCTCTCGTCCAGCTCTCAGGCCAGCATTGAGATCGACTCTCTGTACGAGGGCATCGACTTCTACACGTCCATCACCAGAGCTCGCTTCGAGGAGCTCTGCTCCGACCTCTTCAGGGGAACGCTTGATCCTGTGGAGAAAGCACTGAAGGACGCCAAGATGGACAAGGCTCAGATCCACGACATCGTGCTGGTTGGGGGATCAACAAGAATCCCAAAGATCCAGAAGCTTCTGCAGGATTTCTTCAACGGCAGAGAATTGAACAAGAGCATTAACCCTGATGAAGCGGTGGCTTACGGTGCCGCGGTGCAGGCCGCCATCCTCATGGGCGACACCTCTGGAAACGTGCAGGACCTGCTCCTCCTGGACGTGGCCCCGCTGTCTCTGGGTATTGAGACCGCAGGTGGAGTCATGACAGCCCTCATCAAGCGCAACACAACCATCCCCACCAAACAGACCCAGACCTTCACCACTTACTCCGACAACCAGCCCGGCGTCCTGATCCAGGTGTTCGAGGGGGAAAGAGCCATGACCAAAGACAACAACCTGCTGGGCAAATTTGAGCTGACGGGAATTCCACCTGCGCCACGTGGCGTCCCGCAGATCGAAGTGACCTTCGACATCGACGCCAACGGGATCCTAAATGTGTCGGCGGCGGACAAAAGCACCGGAAAACAGAACAAGATCACCATCACCAACGACAAGGGCAGGCTGAGCAAAGAGGAGATCGAGAGAATGGTGCAGGAGGCCGACAAGTACAAAGCTGAAGACGATCTGCAGAGAGAGAAGATTTCTGCCAAAAACTCCCTGGAGTCTTACGCCTTCAACATGAAGAACAGTGTGGAAGACGACAACCTGAAAGGCAAGATCAGCGAGGAGGACAAGAAGAGGGTTATTGAGAAGTGCAATGAAGCCGTGAGCTGGCTGGAGAACAACCAGCTGGCGGATAAAGAGGAGTACGAACATCAGCTGAAGGAGCTGGAGAAAGTCTGCAATCCAGTCATCTCCAAACTCTACCAGGGAGGGATGCCAGCTGGAGGATGTGGAGCTCAGGCACGTGGTGCATCAGGGGCCAGCGCTCAGGGGCCCACCATTGAAGAGGTGGACTAAAGTTATGAACTCGCATGAATGTCGTTTGTCAGTCAGAATCCACGTAATGTTTTGACCAAATATATTTTTATACAACACTGCTGCTCTTATATTTCTGATGCTATTAGCAACCATTCACCACTGTAATTTATTTAAAGCGTATATTGTTATGTAAATAAGTGTAAATATTTTCATGAATACAAAAAACTTTTATGTAAAAAAAAATATGAAAAGAATTAATAAAGTGTTTGTACTTGAGAACCACAATGAAATGTGTTTTCATTCAGTAAGTGTGGTCATATGGTCTCTTCCTACAGTCATGACATGTGTGCACTGAAACGACTCTTTAAAAGGAATTTGCTCATGGTTACATGTCCCACTTCATAATAGGTGGCCTTAACTGATAAGTACTGAATTTACGATTTTACATTGTAGCTATGATTGATTAAATACCTGCATACGATTATATATGTAAAAGCCGAAATTGCTTTTCTGGAGTGTTTAATCAAACATTTGTTAGCTCAATCTATAAACTCTAACACTCTACTCATATATTCCATTGTCGAACAAACTACTTACAGGCTTCCTAATTGCTATATAACCTACCCTGCTAAACTGCTTGACCCCCGGTAATTGCTGCTTGCAGCTATATATATTTGTGATTACACTGTTGACCTTTACACACTAACCCATCTTTAAATCTACCCACACCACCAAACATTTATATAATAAATGCATTTATTATTTGATGCAAGTACCTAGTAGTCAAGGCCATTTAATATTAAAGCAGAAACAAAAAGTGACATTAGCATACTCATGAGGACATCATCATAAGGTGTCCACCTCATTATACCTAAATAAGTAATAACAATAAAAAAAAAGCAAATACATTGCTTTTCACGGAGCATTTATCTTAGTATGTAACATTTTAGGTGAATCTGCATTAGTGTCAATACTTTAACATACTATTAAAAAATACCTTATTTGATATTATTTCATAACAAAATATGATGTCACACCTACTTTATTGTCTTTGAAGTTGTATAAAGGCTACTAATACAGCACCTATGAGCTTTTCTTCGATTTTTATTTTTATAGTCTACTTTTATTTTTTTTTATGGCTGCATCGTCTCTACAGCGGTGTCATTTTCCACTTTTGTCACAAGATGACGCTGTTTATTTAGTCTAAGGGGTTGTTTCTTCAAGGCTGCAGACATTAGAGAAAAGTCAGTGTGCTTCATGATCAGCACTTTTATTCTTGTTTTCTAAAATGTTTGTCATTTAATCAAACCATTTGCATAAAACTAACATTTATTTAAGAGCAAAAATGACCTTAAGTTGCCGAGTAGCTTTGAACAAAAGTTAAGACTGCAATTTTTGACCAATATCTGACCAAAGCTAATTAACTTCCATAAAAAATGTATGCCTTCTATGTGGGTGAAAACACAATACAGGCTAGTTTTTTGATGTAAAACTTTAGCAATATTTTATTAATTTTTTCTCTTTACGCCAAAGAATGCGATGAACACTTAAGTAAAGAAGTAGCCGATAAATTGGCCTTATTATGCCATTGTATTAACACTATATTAGGCAGAGTTTGATAAGTGCTTTGTGATTCTTCACATTCTGAAAAGTTTATTTATTTATTTGCTTAGCATTTGCCCTCTTTCCTTATCTAATTAATAGCTTGATGATTCGATTCATTCATAGAGCAACGTGAAAAATGCAAGTACTTTTTATTGCAAACAATAGCTAGGCTACCTTTTGTAGATACAGCCTAATTTGTAGTTTGTAAAACATTTTTTTAAACTTATTATATGCTTGTGATATTGTTAGGCAAGGCAGGTTTATTTATAAAGCACAGCAATTAAAATTGCTTCACATAAACAAGAATAAAAGAAAAAAGAAAAAACTATCACAGATAAAACAATAATGTTATCATGTATTGACATCAAATTTGACATCGCCAACCATATAAAAATCTTATTAATTATGAATATCTCAATTTCACCTTTTACTATCCCTAGTTGCATTTTAGCTATTCTCGATGGCCGCGTTGTGTAGAAACATCACATCAGCCATGAATACCACATTAAAGGCTATTATCTATGGGACTGCCGCGTCGGGTTTGTATTAGCCTATTACCACTTTTTCGCTTAGAAGCCCATCTTTCATTCATTCCTCTCGCTGGGTCTGTTTCCAATCTGAAGACATGCGCGATAGATTTGTGAAATCATGCCCACCCACGTCATCTCTACGCTCGGTGGGCTCCGGTATCAATAAGATTATATGGGCAGGAAATGTAGAAATCCTCAACAAAGAGCTCCATCATTAAAACACACACCCGCGGCCTTCAGCAGCCAAATGCGAGCGAAAACGTTTCTCTTTCATCTGAACGACCTGACAATTTTATATGATAAACCTAATTTTCTCCATGTCCTTAAAAAAACGACTTTACGCGCAATGGGGAATTCAATGTATTTGGGGAAAAGAAAAACGTGCCCACAGGCTACGGCACATTGTTATAAATAACTATAAAAAGTTTTGTGTAGGCCTAGCTACATACACTCTGTAAAACAATGAATCCTGGTTGCCTTCAATTTTTTAAGCTGAATCAAATTAACCTTCTGAGTCCATTGAACTTATACGTGAAACTGACTTAAAACTGCTTGCATAACTTATAAAATTAAGTTAGAACATGATTAACTTTGTCCATATAATTATTCAGTGTATATGGCTATAAACCGCGGGCGCTGCTTTGTACAAGTAATATTTCATACTCTGAACGGTTTGCGCCAATCTTTAGAGCATTTGCACTATTTTTAATATTTCATTTATTATAATTAACAAATATGATTAATTCAGTTAAAATTTGACCTTAATAGCGATCTTCAATAGACTTGGCATTTATTGATATAATTACAATGTGTTCTATTATTGTAATGTAAAAGCATAATATGCTCATTTATTTTATGATATAGTATAGTATAAACAATTGCGTATAAATTTTTTTTTTTTAAAAATTAACTAAAACACAATGATAATAATCATTTTATCAAATAAAAATGTTGTGAAATTGCTAGCTAAAATTAATTAGATGATCTGAATTGAATTGCACGTTCTGAATGATTGATTTCATAATTTAAAAATAAAATGAGTTTCAGCAAAAAAAAAATATTTAGTAGCCTTTGCTTCCTACACGTAAAATATATATGTAAAAAAGGATAACCTACAATGTAATCTTTGGTGTTAGTACAATTGCCTAGTTGATTTTTTTCAGTAAACTGATAAGATTTATATATATATTTTACTGGACGTAAATCCCCCATTTATGTTATGCCAATTTAAAAAAAAAAACATTTCGGATGTTGAGCGGCTATAGAGATTAAACTACAGTATGCAATACAGTGAAATCTACAGTGATATCCATCATGGTTTTTCTTGTGTGGCCAGAACCTGGTAGAGTTGCCCTGTTTTCATTGGAGTGGAGCTTCTTCCTGAGAACCTCGTCATGACATCATCGTCATCTGATTCCCGAACAGCTGCAGGAATCCAGTTGCGTTGGAGTGGACGATGGACATTGCTGCGTACACAGCTCCCCAGACCTCCTGCGCTCCAATGACCAGGATTCCTGTGTGGCCAAATTATATCTTGTGTTGTTAGCGTGCTCGTCTCTTTATAATCCATCTTCCAGACTGTTCTGAGGAGCCAGGAACAGCCCTTCCCGAGAATTTAAGACTTGCGCGTGACCATCTGCTTGTTTAGAAGCCGTCTCGCATCTCCAACGTGTGGATTATGACCCTGGACACTGATTTAATGGATGACCTCGTTGTCGACGTGGTTGGAGAAGGTGGCAAAGATTCTGGAGACGAACATCTTTTGACTTCGCCTCTCTCTGCATCCGACCAGGTCCATAATAAGGACGAGGAGAACCACGTCCCATCTTCCATATGTCCGTCAAGTTCGAGCAAAAGCTCTTCGGTGAAACCGCCGTATTCCTACATCGCTTTGATAACAATGGCCATCCTCCAGAGCCCGAAGAAGCGTCTTACTCTCAGCGAAATATGCGACTTCATCAGCCACCGGTTCGTGTACTACCGAGAGAAGTTCCCGGCTTGGCAGAACTCCATCCGCCACAATCTCTCCTTAAACGACTGCTTCGTGAAAATGCCACGCGAGCCGGGTAATCCTGGAAAGGGGAATTACTGGACTCTTGATCCCAATTCCTCGGATATGTTTGAGAATGGAAGTTTCCTTAGAAGAAGGAAGCGTTTTAAACGGCAGCACTTCAAATTTGGCGTGTTCAAAGACCAAGCGCTGCAGCCGAGTGGCTTTCCGAACCTCAGTTACGGCGCGTACGGGCTCAGCGCGTCCTGCGCGCACTTACCAGCTCTGGATGTCTACCCGTATAGCTTCCATCAACACATCGGTGTTCCACCTGTTGGCAGCATTTTACCGGCTCTGTCCACTCTTTTCTCCAGAAACTCTGTGGCAGCCAAATCCTTTCCACAGTCACAAACTGTGGCCATAGAGCCGGTCACCCCTGGCATAGCCTGCGCAATGGCCCCGACCTCTCCATACGCGTCCTCAGCAGCTCTCTTCAATCCTGTGGGCTTCCCCCGGATGCTCAATTTTCAGTACGAGTACCAGAAGCTGCAAAACGCTCACAGCCACGTGGATTTATCCACTAAACACAGACATCTGGCTAGCGTCAATGACTAGCAGCGCATATAACCGGACACAAAACTATTCATTCTCAGGAATCAATTCATTTATCCCGAGGTGTAAAAGTGTAGATAATCGCGTCGAATGTTTGCGGACATTTTTACGAACTTCTCAGTTAGATTTCTGTCAGGAATTAATCAAGTGAAATATTTTTGTTACATGCTGAAAGTGTTTATTCATGCATGTTATTTTTATCGTAATGTTTAAACCGAATGTTTCAACTATTTAAATGACGAATTTCCTTTTCGCGTTTGGCCGGAAATAAAGCTGACATTTTAAAAAGGACCACCAATGTCTTATTCTTAATTCATCCCTAATTTGGCAAGTACCGTGGCTGAATACCCACAACCAGAAGAGAGTCTGTAAAAATTGATCGAATATGCTGTAAATAGTAGCTACAATTTGACACTTTTTTTGCCCATGCGTCTCTCTCTCATTTCTTCTAAATCAGCCAGGAGACCAATTGATGATTGCTTTCATTTCGATTTAGATATACTTTAATTAATCCATAGTACAAACTTTACATACATAAATCATATATATTAATTCTAACGTAAGTCAGAAATAAACCAATAATAGCCCAAATAGGATATTTAAATTCAGTGCTTTCCTCTGTTAAATTATACATATAAATATACATATATACATTTAACATTTGATGCATAAAAACAGACGATAATCAGGCCTTTTATATTTACAGTTTGTATTTATTTAGAGTGTTATAACATAGCCTACTTTTGGATTTTACTTTTGGATAAAACATAACCAGCAAAATTATTCACAGGGTATTATTAAATTTTTTGAAAAAAATAACTTCATTAAATTTGTTAAGCTGTCTGGATGGCGTATGTCGCGTGCTCAAAAGAGATTTTTTGTTACTTGGTAAAAATTGTATTGGCAGATATCTAATATGAAAACCACAGACAGGCTGCATGGACCTAAATAGATGTTCATTTATATCTCTATCATAAATTAGCTTAAAAAATTAGAAACTCAACACGTGTTCGTTCGTGTCCATTTATTTGTCTAAGCTTGTTGAGCGGAAATAATCAACTGGATCAGTATCAAATGCGCTTTGCAAATATACAGGATCTCGCCTGAGCATGAGCAGATTTCCATCTGAGCGCACACTGTAAATAATCAACACAAAACGCTCAGCAGGGTCTTGACAGCTGCATGTGCGCCATGCTCAGGTGTATATCCTATTAATATTATCGTTTTTCCCAGCTTGGGACCTTTATCTTAAAATCATTAATCAGATTTTGTTGGATTTTATTATAGTTAGCCTTTAGTCTTCTAAAAACCTCTGCTGGAAAACCAAGATCTAGAATGACACCATTAAGCACTATTGTGTCGATTTTTTAATATCTTTGTTTTCATTAAATACATAAATATAAAACTCCAGAGTTACAGAGTTATTGTTTCAGTTAGGCCAACATAGGCTAATGCATATCATGGAGATGGAAAGAAAATATTCTCAGTGGTACATTCAGTTGAAGACAGTCACAAATAGGGGACAAAGTGTATTTATGAGGACCTGGAATTAGAAACTGGATTTAAAACCAATTATCTAAATATGTTATTAAATGTTTTTGTGTGAGATTTAATTGTTTTATTTATAATAAAATTGATTGACTTTATTGTTTTTATTATGATTAAGTCTTTACGTTTAGTAAATGGCACCTTTAACGAGTAAAAATATTTTAAAAACAATATTAATTGTATAAATTGTGTATTTATAAAATGCAATTATTTTTTATTTAGGCCCTTAATTGCCAATATTATGCTGATTAATTTAGCTTAAACATGCATCTGAATAATATAGGCATATTTTAAATCAATTAAAACTAACAAAAATACAGTAGCTAAGCTACAACAAACACCTCGAGGGCGACAGATGTCACATGGCTGTTTGCTGTTAACAAGTGAATATCATACAAAATTAGCTCGTGATATTTAGGAACAACCTGGAGAAATTAATTTCAAAATGAGCACAAATACACGTGTTTTTCTATCTGTCTTTCGTTGATCCATTTGATTCTGAATTTTACGTTTTATTTTATTTTTGTCTCCGTGACTTGGAATAATAAGAAAATACCTATCTATCTATGCGTAATATAGGTGCATTGTAACAAAGCAGATTTAGCATTAAATATTTAAATATTTATTGTTTTATATATATTAAAATAACATTTTAGTCACAGAAAAAAAACTAACATTTCAACAAAATTGTATATATTTTTTGTTTCTCTTGATTTTTGCTATTTTTAGAAATTTTATTTAATATTTTTCTCTAAAATAAATTTGGGCTACTTGTTTTTGGACCATTCTTGTAAGTCATTTAAATCTTATAAGTCATTGTTAAATTAGCTTCAGATTTGGCTTCAATACTGACTAATCTAATGTAACTGCACAAATATAGCTAATATTGTAAAGCATCTCATAAAAATATTAATTTAAATGAGGGATTTGTGAGGGGTGTACTCATATATGCTGATATCTATCTATCTATCTATCTATCTATCTATCTATCTATCTATCTATCTATCTATCTATCTATCTATCTATCTATCTATCTATCTATCTATCTCGGGCATTTGAAGTCTAATAGGCTTTTTTTTTCTTGCCTGCCGTCTTTTTTCTCTTTGTTTAAACGACTGGACCCTGGGTTTGATAACCATATGCTTGTTATTGTGCTGCGCTTCATGCATCTTTGATAAACGGTTAAAAAGCGTTAAAGAAACAGGTCCAAAGTTAAGGCCAACCTATGATGAAATATCCTGCACCTGACAAAATAAAGGAAACAAAAGAAGTGTGTCTTTGCACGAGTTGAAAGAAAATACACTCGTGTAAACGTGTACAGCTGTCTTTAGATCGCCCACAAACTCTTCTCATGCAGTGGATGGAGAGACTACTGTTGTTGGCTTTGAATAACTGCCTCTATTTAGCCGCGTCCCAAAAGAGATACAGAGACAAATATTTATTTCCACAAAGATCATCGCAGCATACAGTACGTGACCCAGCTCCCACATATTACTTAAACACTATCGTCTTTCCCAGCTGCCACAGTTTGTGATCCTCAAAAACAATCTGCGAGACATTTTCCCCAGTCAAATGGCCCTCTAAGCCCCATAACCTAAAACAAAATAAGTAATTTCACGTACCAAGACAGAAATCATAACATGAGCGCTACATTTGTGGTCTGCAATTGAATACGTCATCTGTGAAAACTGCACTTCACGCTCCATCAGTGTCACATTAAGCATGTTAATAATATTGTGATGGTGATGAATTGCTATTTATGTGACACCCTCCAGCAGAGCTCGCTTGAGTCCCCAGCTTTATAGGCAATGACGTATTATAATTCATATTTTACCCTCCGATACGGTTTGCTTTTACAAGGGAGAGAACGAGCAGGTTCGGGCGGTTTAAAGGTCTGCTTGTACCTGTTTCCTCATGCCAAGTTAAACAGGATGGTTAAAATCATTCCTCAAATGCTGTACCAGCTCGTGCAGGTCTCCTCCAAACACACCAAACACAGGCGCAGAAGTGCACTGTGGGATATCCGACTCCTTCCAGGCAGCTTCCTGAAAGCGAAAATGCTGTTCTCTCACAATTTTCTCCGTCCGTTTGAGGTGGCTCAGTTGCTTTTGAGCGGTTAAAGATAAAAAAAAAATCAAACAAAACGCCAACTTTAAAGAACAATGAGAATTACAAATGACTGAAATAGTAAGTTAATAATAATAAAGAAAATAATGTCCCTATTTGACACTCAACACAGTGTTATTTCAGGTTTCTGCTTCAACATTTTACATTTAAGTCATTATTTTTATTTAATATGTCATTATTATTATATGTTTAAGTCCAATTTGGATAAAAATATAAAGCATTCCATTAGCTGAGTTAAAAATATTTCTTTAAACCAACAGATGACTAATTAACTAAGTAGATTTTGCATATACATTTCCTTTGCTATAAACGTTCCAACAGTCATAAATCTCATCTCAGTTTGCCATTCCTGTATAGACCATTTTGAGGAACGTAAACAATAACAATGGTCCTAATGTATATCCTGTTTTACACTTTTAATTTCTTTAGCTTCCGAGAAATCTAAAAAGGTCCACATGTTGACAATAATAGCTGTTTTAACACGAAAATAGGATTGAATTACTTGTTACAGTTATGAAATAGTTTGATAACAAGCAGGAAATGTTCATGGGCTAATGGCATCACCACACTGAAATGGTCTATTCATTCACAATTAAATGGAATAAAAAAAACCTCTGCAATTAAGGCAGAAAAAAAGAGGCAAAAACAATTTAATTATAAACAAATTTTGATTCACTTTATGTTTTGATAATTGGTTTACATAGCTTAAAACTAAAATAAAAGCTAAACATGAGTTTGTCATAGTAAACGAAAATGAGATATTCACTGAAACAATAGTTTTTTATATCTACACTCAACAAAATTTAAACTCATTTAAAATTAAAGCTGCAAGCAGCGATGAAAGGGACCTCGCACCCAGGCTCACCGCCGCCCAGTGGCTTTAGGATGAGAGGCAATAATAATTTGAGCTGATATATAATAAAAATTCTGAGAATAATCACAATTTTATGCCAAAACTACACTGTAAAACACAAAAAGTTAAGGTAACAAACCATGTAAGTTCAAAAACTAATCCCAATGACTCCTGTGAACTTAATACACTTGAGTAAATGAAGCAATTTGAGCACAGTAAAACCCAATAAAAGAAGAGAACTCAAACTAACTGAATACTGTAAAACCCAATAAGTTAAGGCAACTCAAACTTTGAGGAAACCTATTGCAACAAACCATTTGAGTTAAAAAAAAAAACAATCTATATGAGTACTGTGACCTTACTCCATTTAAGTTGAAGTAATGTAATTTTATTAACTCATTACCTTCAACACTGAGTTCAAAATTCTTTTCAAATGAGTAGAATTAACTTTCATTATATTTTGAGTTAACTACACTCATTTCATTTAATAAAGTTGACTGTTGGATTTTACAGTATACTTATTTAAAATGAGCTGAAAAAACACAGTTAAGTTTTTTAGAGACAATGTAATTGTTTTATGTTCAATCAACTTAAAATTGTAAAAAAACATTAACTTAATCAATTTGCATTGAGACAAGATGAAGAGATTAAGTGGAACCCAGCATATAATAACCCTGCTACAAAAGAAAGTTTTCGCTGAACTTGATCTCAAAGTTCACAAGACCCTTGCTCAAACACACACATCAACTTTTATTTGACTGAT